AATTTTATAAAGAAACATAAGATGTAAATATTTACTATTATGTTTTCAAATTAAAAATTTTTAATACTCTCCAGTGAGATTTATTCGATATTCATTTTAAATTTGTATTATATCAGTTTGGTAAAACATCGACCAATTTTGATATTCGTAATGAAATTTCAAATATTACAAATGTCGGAGCGTGTTAGAATATTGGCGAGTGTTGGACACGACACGACACTTCAATGGTGCTACATAGATTCAAAATACCACTATTATTATCTACTTTGAAAAATATATAAAATCTTAACTATTATTTATAAGTACAAATTACATTTTTTTAATATAAAAGAGAATAATGTTTCGTGACACTTTGAAGTTGGCCTATATACGGGGATAAACCACTACAACTTATTTTCTATACGAATTTCCCGTGATTCCTAATTACTTCAGCCTCATCCTTATGTAGGTACCTCCACTTTCTTTCATTGTCACCACATATGATGCACGTACACTGACACGGGAGACGACACGACACGATACGTCGACACGTTAATTCTAAAATATGGCATATTTTGACACGTTGGGACATATTTTGATATTAAATAATATTTTTAATATACATAATATAATTTATATTTAATACATATAACAGTTCATAATAAGTCATATAACCAATCAAATATTCAAATTTAATAACATAAATATAAAAAAAATATAAAAAAAATCGTACCTTGTTAATTTTTTATATCAAATTTTATAACAAAAAAAATTGATTTATAAATACTTTTTATTTATTTTTAGTTAATAAAATAAAATTAAGACTAAAAAAAAGAACGTGTCCGAGGGTTGACCACGTGTCCCAAAAAGTTGACTGCAGACCAAAAAACGTGTCGGAGCGTGTCGGAGAGTTGATCACATGTCTTAAAATGTTGACAGTGTGTCGAACGCGTCTTCGAGCGTGTCGGAACGTATCCGTGTCGGAGACGTGTCCAACACGCATTTTTTTTAAAAAAATGGCGTGTCCGGGTATTGCAGGTCACCACTTACCAGTTACCACTGTATCATCATAAACCAAGCATATCGAAAAACTAGAGTAGCCGGTTATTCGGTCATTTCTAGATCTTCATTTCTTAGATCTAGAGCAAAATTGCATAACAATTATAATTAAGAAATACAATTGTTAAGTTGTTGAGAAATTAATTCTAAATATTATTTTTATAAATATATATTTATAGAGATATGTTATTCTACCTATTATTTTTTTTTGTCTATCTTTGCCTACCACTCTCCAACATCGTTAGATCAGAATCTCAATAGGAGACATAAATGATAAATGTAATTGAGATTCTAATCTAATGGTGTTGGAGATTGATAGACAGAGATAGGCAGAAAAAATAATAGATAAAATAATTTATCCCATATTTATATTATGCATAATGTATGAAAGAAAATTTAAAATTTTTATTTTCATTAAATTTATTTATATCATTTACAACAATTTTAATGCTAATCCATGTTCTATCATAGAATCCATATTTCAGGGTGATTTTAAATCAAATCATACCCTCCTAATTATATGTTTTGCATCTTCTTCTTTTTAAATTAATCTTAACCATGTGATTAAGGATGCAAATAAGACAAATAACCTATCAGGGCCTATTGCTAGCGGTGTAAATGAGCTGAACCGAGCCAAGTTTTAGTTTAAACAAGTCAAGCTTATAAAAAATATTTTGAGCTTGACTTGGCTCATTAATTTGGTACGAGCTAAATTCTAGGCTTGACTTTATAAAAAATTAAATGGTTGACTTGAGCTTGGCTTGGCTCATTTATAATTGTAAAATGTATTTTTTTCAAACTCATATACGTCCAAATGTTGAGACTATAAATGTATGAAATTATGTATTCTTTCGTCAGAGAAAAAATAATCATAGAACTCACATATATTTTAAGATCAAATAATGAGTTCCATAATTTTTTCTTGAACATTGATCTAGCTCATGAAATAGAGAATGTGAAGAAAGAATATTTTAAATATATATATATATAGGGGAGGGATCATTTGACTCCAGAGTAAGATTTAAAAGTCTTACTCTTCATCCCAGCCCTTGATTTCCGTTCATCCAACGGTTATCATTTAGTAATTTAATGCATTAATTAATTATTAATTTCAAATAAATTACTAAATGATAACCGTTGGATGAACGGAAATCAAGGGCTGGGATGAAGAGTAAGACTTTTAAATCTTACTCTGGAGTCAAATGATCCCTCCCCATATATATATATATGTATATATATAATATAATATAGACTAACCTTTAAATTATCATCATAAAAGTCAATCCTCACAAAACAAAATACTGGTATAGTGTCAGGGACATAGTGACTACATGCCATTAGATAGAATAGACTTGAAACTTGAAAGAAACCAATGCTTAATGAAGAGTATAAATTTGATCACTTACTAAACCAAGAGAATGTGTGATCGGGGCAGCTTGCAATGCAGAAACGAATACAAAAAAAAAAAAAAAAATATCGTGCGACAACTTCACTACCAATAGAATAAGTTGTCCAAACTCCAAAGTTTAATATATTATAATCTTCAAGAAGAATAAAGAAAGAGAACTTGATCGAGTTTGGTCAGTTGCTTGAGAAGTTAAAGACAATAGTAAAAAAATAGGGTTACAAAAATAAGATTAATGATTTAGTAAAATAAAAATATCTTATTTATTATAATAATATATCGTTTACTTGAGCTTGACTTGGTTCTTTATAATTGTAAAATGTATTTTTTTTCAAACTCATATACGTCCAAATGTTGAGACTATAAATGTATGAAATTATGTATTCTTTCGTCAGAGAAAAAATAATCATAGAACTCACATATATTTTAAGATCGAATAATGAGTTCTAGAATTTCTTCTTGAACATTGATCTAGCTCATAAAATAGAGAATGTGGAGAAAGAAAATTTTAAATATATATATATATATATATATATATATATATATATATATATATATATATATATATATATATAATATAATATAGACTAACCTTTAAATTATCATCGTAAAAGTCAATCCTCACAAAACAAAATACTGGTATAGTGTCAGGGACATAGTGACTACATGCCATTGGATAGAATAGACTTGAAACTTGAAAGAAACCAATGCTTAATGAATAGTATAAATTTGATCACTTAATAAACCAAGAGAATGTGTGATCGGGGCAGCTTGCAATGCAGAAAAGAATACAAAAAAAAAAAAAAAATGTGCGACGACTTCAGTACTACTAGAATAAGTTGTCCAAACTCCAAAGTTTATTATATTATAATCTTCAAGAAGAATAAAGAAAGAGAACTTGAGTTTGGTCAGTTGCTTAAAAAATAGGGTTACAAAAATAAGATTAATGATTTAGTAAAATAAAAATATCTTATTTATTATAATAATATATCGTTGGGCTCTCTCATGGGTTTTCAAGTCAAGACTCATTAAATTAGGTTTGACCTTGTTTGCTAAACAAACTTTTTTTAAAATTTGAGTCTATTCTATTTATTAAATAAGCTAGACCAAACCAAGCTTAAAACAAGTCAAGCCTTAGGCCCTTGACTAGCCGCTTGACTCATTTACACCCCTACCTATAGCCCAACCTATGTCAGGTCAACTTTGACCAAGTACATTTAGTAAAATAGAATAGACTTATGCCTTAAAAAAATTGTTCTAAAAACAAGTCGTACATCTCTTTTCACAAAGCATGACTTACAAGCCTATGGCAGTCTGTATCGTATTATTTATTTTAATTGAAATAAAAAAGATAATTATTTATATAATTTTCATTAATAAAAAATTTTATTTATATTTTTTCCACTTTTGATAATTATTGAAAGCTGATAGGCTTAAATAAATTAATAAACCTAGGTCAGACCTTTTAATTTTTAAATATTGGCTAAACCAAGTCTATAATATAGCCTACACTAAGCTAATAGGTAAAGTTATACTCAAAACATTTCACATATGCCTAACTTATTTAGATAAAATCTGAATTCGGTCCAACCCATTTATATCTCTATTAATTTGACTCTTATTAATTCACTGTTGTGAACATTGATATTTATCTATAGTGGCAGGATATACTTACCACCAAAAAAGTTTACAACATTTACAACCAACCTAATCACCGTTGATTTCCGTCAATCTAACGGTTATCATTTATTGAAATTAATAATTAATTAATAAATGCGACCCAATAATTTACAATAAATGATAACCGTTAGATTGACGGAAATCAATAGTGATTAGATTGGTGGTAAATGTTGTAAAAAAAATTTCCTTCCTTAAGTAAACATTATAGGTTCCTTATTCTCGATCATAAGTAACCACAGTACAAAAAATTGTCTTTTATTTTTTTTTTAAATAAAGAAACGAACCCATTTTCATTTTCTAATTTTCTTATTTAAAAAAAATAATACAAAAGAATATTTGCTAGTTTTTTATTTTATTTTTTTATCATATTATAAATAGATTTTATTATTCTCACCTTGCAGTAACTAAAATCAATATTTTAATAAAATGGGAAAAGTTCATCAATGCCCCTGTGATTTACTTCAGAATCACTTATGCCTCTTTGGTTTTTTTCTTATCACATATGCCCCTGTGGTTTGTAAAAGGGTATGTTTTTTATCACATATACCCATGTGGTTTCTTATTTTTTACAAAGCACAGGAGCATATGTGATAGAAAAAAAATCACAGGGGCATAAATGATTCTGAAGCAAACTACAGGAGCATTGACGAACTTTTCCCTCTAATAAAATAAAAGAAGTGAAATGAATTCAAAAATAATAATATAATATTATATTTATTATAATTTTTTTTTTTTTTTTGGAGATACAAGAAAAACTAAATGTTATGTTTACGTGTTCCAGGATGAGAGTAATAAACTCCCATCATAAATTGTATGTTTTTGTGGTCCAACTCCAACCATCGACACAGTGCTTAAAAAAAAATAAAGAAATTAAAGATCTTTACTCATGATTTCCACTGCAGGGTTTTACCCCTTGAAATCAACATTCAACAACGTCTGAAGGTGGTGGGGGAAAAGCTACTGATCGAGGGTTCCCGAAAATCCTACAGAAGAAGTATTGATCATGGTGATTGCTTCCGGTGTGTTTCCCTCCACTATAATCTTTCTAATTCCTAAATTCCATAGCTCCCCAAAAGCTCTGCATGTAGGGGTGTGCAATCCCCAATATGATACCAATAGCCCCCCAACCAATTTCCGGAAGGATGCCTCCACAGCCAGCACTATTAGTGTTGTTTTGTATTTATGAATAACTAATACAGGGTGATCATTATTTCTCCAAGACCAGAGGAACCAACTCCAGACAAAAAAGATGGAAATGGGATCATACCCGTCAAGGAATGACCAATTTCTAATCAGGCAGGCAGGCAGGACTTGAGCCAGTCTGAATCTTGAAGAAGGTAAAAATTAGAGTTTCCTAAATTTGGATTCCAGACATTCCATACTGTTTTTGCATACTTACAATCAATCTCTTAACACATACATGAATGAAAATTTCATTTTGGTCAGGACACCATTGGCAGTTAGCACTTCCTCCAGTCCAGATGGTTTATATGCGAGCTCTGGTAGGCAACCGATTAAGTAGCACTAACCAGATGAAAGTCTTTATTCTTTGTGGGGCCCCTTCCACTTCCACAAAAGACTCCAGATGTTATCCGAGGTATGGTAACTGAACCCCCATCTTAAGTTATTGTACGCTGTTTCGACTACATAATGTCGTAAGGACTTGTCCTTCCATTGAATATTGTCTTCACCATCCAGAGCACTTGGAATTAGAGTGGCTCGAATCTTTTCTAAAATATCACGATCTAAGAAATTCTCCAAATAGAAGAAGTTCCAGGAGCAATTATCCTCCTCCACCAGGTTCTTGATCCGCAACTGTTGATCTTGGAGTTGGACATTCACTGTTGAAAAACTCAGATTTAGAATCAAGACCAAGCCAATTATCTGTCCAGAATCTAATTGATGCCCCATCCTCGATCTCCCAAACCTGATCTTACAATGAAGGCTCACAAATTCTTGCTAGCATATCTTCCTTCCAGTATCTTAAGAATCTTTGTTAAAAAAAATTGTTACTCCTTTGTTACAGGCTTTCGTGTCTCTGCCTCACGGAGGCTTTTAATTTCAACAAAAGAGCTCAAACTGGTAAGTAAATGTTTTTTTTTTTTTTTAATATATATTTCTCTAACCCACTTTGAAAGCAAGTACTGAGAAAGACGACCTTATATATACTATAATGACAGGTTCTAAATCAGACAGCATTCTCTTTCTCGAAAAAGCTCTTTTGTGCTGCAATGAACCCACTCGCTGAAACTCCTCATCGCTGAGTTCATCGTAGCAATTACTTGGCAGAAGCGGAGAAGGGTAGACTTCCGAAGCTCGGCCAAATTGGGTGAGGAGGGCGATGGAGAGGACCAAACCCAGGACGAACATAGGGCCAATCCCACTTTTGCTAAAGATTTATGAGAGGAGGAGGATTGTGACAATGGAGATGAAGAGGGCTTTCATTGATCTTTTCATTTTCAGAACTCTATCATGTGCTGCTACGATGGAGCTTTTGATTGGGGTGAAAGACAGTGGAAGGAGGAGCACTAGCGCAACCAGAAAATTCAATCACATGGTTAACCTTTTTATCTTTTGAAAGTGCATGCAAACGTTCATGATGAGCATAAGCATGAGTCCATTAATAAATGCTTCACAAGATTTACAAGCATCATACAATCCCAAGAAGTGTTTTGCGAGATTCCAACAGCCTATTCATTTGGTACGAAGAGGCTTATCTTACAATTCCATATTTAGATTTACTAGGTGTTTGTATGAAGGCTTATATTCGAAATGCAGAGGGATTTTGACTGAAATCATGCACTTGATTTATTTTACTTCCTACAATGCAGCTTGGATTGCTTATATTTTCATGTATTTGAATGATTTTTCATTATATGGGGGGATTTTACCGTAGTTGATATTTATCACTCAAGTTACTGGAATGTTGTGGGCTTCAATCGAGGGCTTAAAATCTTTTAGGGGTCTTTGTTCAGTAGTGGACATTATATAGTTTTGTTAAGATGATTTGTCACCATTCTGCTCTGGAGGAAATTATGTACATGGAAGTAGAGGGTGGTTCAATGCTTTTGTCAGTGAAGCCATTCTTCTACTGAGACCATATTTGGTTCAATGGACATATTTCTTTCAGAGATTCCAAGCTAACCTGCATACTGTTTGCTTTTCTGATCATAATGTGATTGCTAATAGAATGAATCCTATATTACATTTGTAGCGTAATGTTTTATGGCTGCAGAGCTGTACAAATTGCACATAATATATTGGACTTGATCACAAACAACTTAACGCAAGGGGATTTCTTTATCAAACTTTTTTTTATTTTTTTTGTATAAATTCTTTATCAAACTTTTAAAAGCATGCATTCCTACATAGATTAAGTTTGAAGAAGTAGGTCTGAGCGTTTCGTTTAATTATTTGAATAAAGAAAAAGACTAACAATGGGGACAGGAGCAACATGATTTGTTTGGATCTCTTATGATTAAGAACAGAATGCTAAGTCTTTAGGGCTGTATATATGGTGTGATCTGCTAATCATTATATTATTAAAATCATTCCCAGGGTTATGTTAATTTGAAAGAAGTTACTTCACATCAAGAACGGGTTCAGGTGATTGGTTTAAGACAATGATTAGGTTAAGAAAATCAAAAGATGGCAGATCTAAGAAAGCAAAGGTGCATTCAGGCTATTACTGCTTGCATGCAAGCTTTCAGATCGCATTTTAGAAGCTTATATGATTGCCAGCTAAGTTTACATAATACTATTAAACTAAATTGCAGAGTTTTTGCTATATTTTGCACTAGGTCATTCAAGATATATCTCTTTGGGCAGGGCATTGCAAAATGTCATTAAATCAATGTGGAGTGTGCTTAATCTTATAACTTAAGTGCTAAAGTGTAATTGGACAAATAAATTAACATGGCAAAGTGCAATTGGCCCATTTTTTCCCCACCATTTTACTAAACTCATGTTCACTGGATTAGGAGCTCCAGTTATGTCTATTTCTAATATCAATCTTCCCCGCTTCCCAAACAATAGAAAAAAGTGTACTTCTATGCATAAGAAAGTAATGATTAGATGTTGGGTTTTAGGCATCATTAAGTGTAGTGTTTTGTGTAAAAGGTGCTTGAATAATATCTGATAATGATTTGAATTCCTACCTCGCCATGAAAGGCAGTAAATTTGCTCCTTTAATTGCTATAGGCTTGGCAAGTGGAACTATTTCTATCATTATTACTGTGATACCTATACTTATTTGTGTCTTCCAATCCCTTTTGCATGATAGTGTCCAGGCTTCAGCATCAGGTAGAGCACGGAGAGATGCTGCAGCAAGGGCTATGCAGGGTTGGCACTCACAATGTCTCCTTGGCAATGGTGAAGTTAGTGATCCTATTATTAAGTTCTGGTTATATTTTGATGGTGTGGTATATGTTCTCCTCAATCCCTTAACCCTACCCTCATTAGCCGAGATTTGATATATATATATATATATAGGGATAGGATCCTTTGACACCAAATCTTAACCGTTGATTTCCGCGAATCAACAGTTATCATTTATTGGAATAAATGATAACCGTTGATTGGCGGAAATCAATGGTTAAGATTTGATGTCAAATTTCAAAGTTTGACACTGGTGTCAAAGGATCCTGCCCCATATATATATCAACATCAACATCAACAACACCTTTATCCCAAATTAATTGAGGTCGGTGGTAGATGAACCCAAATAAAAGATGCGAAAGGGTTTAGATAAAAAATAAAAATAAATAAATAAAATAGTAATAATATATATATATATATATATATATATATATATATAAAAGTGATAAAAGAAGGGGAAAAGAAGAAAGGGGGGAGATGAAGAGGAAAAAGGACTAAAAAGGGACTATCTGGAACATAGGAATGACAACGGGTCTAACCTTCCACTATGCTTATAGCTTTTCTCCATTTCGTTCTAAGGCACATCGTCCGCCAATCTATATCCCAATCCATTAAGTCTTGCTTTACTACCTTTCCTCAAGTAAGTTTCGGTCTACCTCTACCTTTCTTTGTGTTGAGCTCTTGGTAACAAACTTTTGTTCTTACGGGAGCATCTAGGGGCCTTTTCATTACGTGCCCAAACCACCTTAATCTATGTTCTCTCATCTTTTCAGCCACCGGTAGTACTCCTATCTTTCGTCGAATATCTTCATTTCTCATCTTATCCATCCTCGTGTAACAATAAAACAATCAACCTTAACATCCTCATTTCTGCTACTCCCATTTTATGCTCATGTTGCCTATTTGCTGGCCAACATTCAGCTCTATATAGCATTGCAGGCCTTACGCTATTCTATAGAATTTTCCTTTTAACTTAAGGGGGATTTTGCGTTCACACAAAAACCCAGATGCACTACGTCATTTCATCTACTTGCTCTGATTCTATGATTTACATCCTCATCAATCTCTCCACCTTTTTGCATTTTTCTAAAAGCATCTTTCTTGGGTACCTCTTGACCAAGTAGATGCACGAGATCTTGGTCTTCATCTTTTGCCAGAGAAAACTCACTTCAAATACTCAGTTTTGTTTCGACTTAACGTGGTTCCTTTATATTCCAACGTCCTTCTCCATAATTCAAGTTTTCTATTAACACCGTCTTTGTTCTCATCAATAAGCACAATATCATCTACAAAAAGCATACACCATGGCACTTCCTCTTGAATATCTTTTGTTAGTTCATCCATAACTAAGGCAAGGAGATAAGGACTTAGAGCCGAACCTTGGTGTACACCTACTGTGATAGGAAAATAATTTGATGTTCCATTACAAGCTTTCACACATGTAGTAGCCCCATCATACATATCCTTGATTGCCTTTACATAATTTGATGCTACTTTTTTCTTCTGAAGAACCCACCATAAAACTTCCCTTGGAACCCTATCATATGCTTTCTCAAGATCTATGAACACCATATGTAAGTCCTTCTTTTCTCGATATCTTTCCATTAATTGTCGCATCAAGAAAATGGCTTCCATGATACATCTTCCTGGCATAAATCCAAATTGATTTACAGAAATCTTGGTATATCTCCTCAAGCGATGTTCATAGTATAGCTCATTAGCTTAATGCCTCTATAGTTAGAATAATTCTGTTTATCTCCCTTGTTTTTGTAAATAAGCATAATCATACTTTTCCTCCATGCATCAGACATCTTATTTATCTGAAGAATCTTATTGAAAATATTGGTCAACCATTTTATTGCCACATCACCCAGGCCTCTCCACACTTACTAGGGACACCATCAGGTCCCAAGGCTTTATTAGTCTTCATCCTCTTTAAAGCCTCCTTAACTTCATGTGTATTCATTCTGCGCACAAATCTTCTATTCAAATCATCATAAGCATCCTCCAAGTCCACCTCGCTTTTATCGCCATCCCATTAAACAGCTTGTTAAAGTAGTTCATCCATCTTTCATTTACATCTTTATCTCTCACCAAAAGTTTTTGATTTTCATCCTTGATGCATCTAACTTGGGTGAGGTCTATACTTTTCTTATCCCTTATTTTTGCAAGTTTATGTATACCTTTGTCACCATCCTTGCTCCCAAGATTTTTATATAAATCGGCGAAAACCTTGCCTTTAGCTTCCCGCACTGCTTTCTTTGCATTTTTTTTCACCAATCTAAACTTTTGCAAGTTCTCTTTATTGGGACTTTTATGCAAAGATCTAAAGCATTCTTTCTTCTGTTTAATTGCCTCTTGCACCTCTCCATTCCACCACCATGTTTCCTTTGTATGAAATCCATTTCCTTTGCTTTCTCCCAACACTCTCCTTCCCATGTTCTGAATACACATAGCATCTCATTCCATATTGCATTTGCTCCTCCATCAAACTCCCAAGGTCCTTCATGCAACATTCTTTCATTGAAATCTTTCTCTTTTTCCTCCTTAAGCTTCCACCATCTTATCCTTGGGTTCTGGGCCCTCTTCCTCATTGTGAGTACTTTGTTGAACCGAACCTCCAGGACTACCAGCTTATGTTGCGTAGCGACACACTCTCCAGGGTAGACCTTACAGTCGACACAAGAAGTTCTATCTTCTCTTCTTGCCAAAAAGAAATCAATCTGACTATGATTATGACCACTATGATATGTGATTAGATGTGACTCCCTTTTTCGAAAAAAGGTGTTCGCTAGCATCAAATCGTAGGCTAGTGCAACATTCAAGATATCTTCTCCAGTCTCGTTTCTCATCCCATAGTCAAAACCTCCATGAACTCTATCAAAACCTTCATTGCTTTTACCAACATGACCATTTCGATCTCCTCCTAAGAAAATCTTCTCCTCTCGTGGTATCCCTCTCAAAACCTCCTCCAAGTCTTCCCAAAATTGGCTGTTATCATTTGATTGTAATCCAACTTGGGGCGCATACACACTGAGGATATTCAAGATTAAATCACCCACTACCAGCTTAATCAGAATAATCCTGTCGCCTTTCCTTTTGACGTCAACAACTTTATCTCTGAAACTTTTATCGATCATAATTCCAACACCATTTCGACTCTTGTTTATACCTGTGTACCATAACTTGAAACCAGTTCCATCCATTTCCTTGGCCTTTTCTCCAACCCATTTAGTTTCCTACAAGCAAACAATATTCACTTTTCTTCTAGCAAAAACATCTGCTAACTCCCTCAATTTACCCGTTAAGGTTCCTATGTTGCAGCTTTCCAAGTTGAGTAATTGGCTTACTAGTGCATTCCATATTTCAAACAATCATCTTGGCATATTTTTTGCTCCTACCTTGTATTCGTCTAATTTAAAGAATTTTAATTAATGCGGGTTGTCAGATTGCCTTCAACAATTGATCCTCATCGGACTTCAGCACTGGTGACACTGCATGGACAATTGTTTGTTCGTGTCCCATTTGAACAACCAGAATAGAGATGGCTGATTGATTCATTCCTATCTCATTTACCATGTTTTATAGGATAGTTGATATAACAACCTCATGATGTAGAAATTTTAAAGAGGTTGGGCTGATGCATAAATATGTAATAGGTAAAATTTAAAAATAACAACTTTGTTAAAGTGTGAATTAATTAAAAGGGTATGTTAAATAAGGGTTAATCTTTTCTCATTTTACATGAGAAAAGATTCTCATGTTATACACACAATTAAAATGTGGGTCCCATTTTTATTTTTGTGTCTTTTCACTTTTTTGTGGACCCCACTTATGTATTGAATGTGTAGCATAAGAAAATTTTCTCATGTAAAATGAGAAAATTAATCCCCGTTAAATAAATATATTTTGGTACAATATTATAAATTGGAAGTTGAATGCTATATTGAAAAGGACATCTTAAAAACTTAGCAAAGTTTTGTTAAATGTGTCATATTGTGATTGAAGAATTTGTGAGATTTTGTTTGTAGCAAAATAGAACGTGATACAACATGGCATAAGTTGTTAGTGAATTACAAACTTAAGATTCCAAAATTTAGTATTGAAATTATTATCATAAGAGTCTGGGACGGTGTAATTTGTGTCTCTTTTCTTTTTCTTTTTTGTTACATAGGACGATGTACTACGGCTAATCGTAGTTGGAATCCCAGCAAAGACTTGTTGGTATTGTATGATACTTGTAAATCTTGTGAACCATTTATCAATGGTCTCATGCTCATGCTCTTGAATGTTTGCATGCACTTTCAAAAGATAAAAACGTTAACTTGTGATTGAATTTTCTAGTTGCGCTAGTGCTTCTCCTTCCACCGTCTGCCACCCCCAGTCAAAAGCTCCACTATAGCAGCACATGACAGTTCTGAAAATTAAAAGATCAATGAAAGCCCACTTCATCTTCATTGTCACAGTCCCACTCCTCTAATGGATCTTTAGCAATTGTGGGAGTGGCCTTATGTTCGTCTTGGATTTGGTTGTCTCCATCGCCCTCCTCACCAAGTTCGGTAGAGCTTTGGAAGCCTACCCTCGTCTGCCTCTACCAAGTAATTGTTATGATGAACTCAGCGATAGAAGTTTCAGTGGGTTGTTGAAGTATTCATTGCACAGCACAGAAGAACTTTTTCAAGAAAGAGAATGCTCACATGATACGGGCTTTTGGGGAGTTAGTTTAAGACAAGTGTCTTTTAGTTCAAATTGATCGACATGTTTTATGAATAATAATTTTAGTTGCTGGCATGTGTCACTTCTCTTGTTTGGTTGAAGATTGTTCTGAAGTCAAGTAGTATTATTATTTTGCAATCACAGCCTTCGCAATATTAATTATATGAGTGTTGTTCTGAAGTCAAGTATTATTATTTTGCAATCACTGCCTTCACAATATTAATTATATGCAGTGTTCTCTCATGCCTCCCCTCCAAAATTCTTCATTTATGTCTCTACTTATGTCTATTTCTAATACTCCCCAAACAATAGAAAAAAGTGTAAAGGAAAGTAATGATTAGATGTTGAGTTTTAAGCATCATTGACTGTAGTGTTTTGTGTAAAAGGTGCTTGAACAATATCTGATAATGATTTGAATTCCTACCTCGTCGTGAAAGACAGTAAATTTCCTCCTTTAATTGCTTTAGCCTTTGCAAGTGGAAGTATTTCTATCATTATTACTGTAATACATATACTTATTTGTGTCTTGCAATCCCTTTTGCATGATAAGCGTGTCCAGGCTTCAGCATCAGGTAGAGCAGCAGAGGGCGCTAGTGAAATATTTTATGATTAGTCGAAGAAACAGATATAGATAATATTTTTATTTTTATTTTTATTTGTTGTTAAAGTGAGTATAATTTTTCTTGTATCTTTGATTGGCCAATACCAAATGGTGAACCTGCAATCTGCCAATTTTTTTTTTTTTTTTTTGGGCACAATTGAGGGGCATGGCTCTAGAAAGCAGTCAACGACGGGAAGAAGAAAAAAACAACAGAACCAGGAAAGTGATAAATAAAATGACATGGAAGGTATTCACCAAAAAAAATAAAAAAATAACAAGTAAGGTAAATGATAAAAAAGAAGTCCATGGGGTTAAATAATTTGTAAGCAAACTACATCGGGTTTTTGAATTTTTCAAAAAAAATAAAAATAAAAAAATTCTTGAGGAACCTACAACAGAGGGCGCTAGTGAAATATTTTATGATTAGGCGAAGAAACAGACATTGGTAATATTTTAATTTTTATTTATTGGTAAAGTGAGTATAATTTATTCTTGTATCTTTGATTGGCCAATGCCAAATGGTGAAACAGTCATTCTTTCTACCTCGTTCTGTAGCGTATCACTTTTAATCCTTAATAATTATAACCAGAATGTCCGAGTCAAGCCGTGTCGGCTCAGCTTCTTCTTCATTTCCTGATCACTCCGATTTTCAGAGCCCAACAAAGAGAAGAACAAGAAAAAGATCATGCCTTTTAACAGTGTCCTTTGTCATCACTTTCCCGGTAGTGGTGGCTGCAGTTCTCTACCGGCTCGACCGGTTCGAACCGGCTCAGTTCCCGGTCGACGAGTTGAGCCGGCGAACCGTGACCGTTCCTGCTCGAAACTCGCGCATGCGAAAAGGATCCGAAGTTGTTGCGATGGGAGAGGTGTCGGGACCCGAAGACTTGGCTTACGATAAGGAGAGTGGTGTCATCTACACGGGTTGTGATGATGGGTGGATCAAGCGAGTCACGGTGAAGGATTCCGCGTCTGACTCGGTTGTTGAAAACTGGGTCAACACGGGTGGAAGACCACTTGGACTTGCTTTTGGAAAAAACGGTGACATCATAGTTGCCGACGCCAATAAGGTATATAGCAACATGGTATCTCTCTCATTTAATTTGCTGAAAAGGTTGTTACATCTACCTATCTATCTTTCAATAAAAATTAAAGAAATGAATTTTTATTGAAATTTACGAATACTTATAATTTATAAACAGAGATTGATACAAAAAAATTTAAAAAATAAAATAAAATATTTTAAAAAATTCAAAGGTGTTCGGAATACTAAAAGCATCATAAAAAAATAAAATATTAATTGTTGTTTAATAAGTATAAGATTTAAACTAGAGTAATATTCTAATGAACCGAACAAAGTTTACAAAATCTTTTAAATATAACTTTTTTCCTTTTGATTAAATTTTTAAATCTAGTGTGCGTGTGTATGTGTTTGAATTATTTAATTTTAAAAAATTATTTTTGCAAGCTTATTGAGAGGACTTTTAAAACAATATTCATTTCCCATGATTTGATAACTAAATACATGTGTAATCAGGAAAGAAAATTATTTGGTGTTATGGTAAGTAAGGGTGTAAATAGGCTATACATGTCTAACAAATGTGCTATCCTTATGTTGTTTGCTACAATATTCACATAATGAAAAGGAGTAAAAGACAACACTCAACTGTAATTAAAACTAGTAGACTTAAAACTTGTTATTGCTTCATCCATTAACGTGTGCTTTGCATCGCTTTAGCAAGATTTTACAATTAACTAATGATCATGAGCATCACATGTTAACATACAATTTCAGCACTTTAGACAAGTTTGGAAATTCAAACTAAACATCTTAGACGATGTGTTTAAATTGGAATTTCAAAATTCTAAGGTGTGTAAATTTTATATGGAAAAATTGTTTGTTGTTTCAAAACATACAATATTATGTCGCTTTATTCATTTTAAATAAAATGATAGTGTTTCACTCAATAAGTTAAAAATTCCTCCAATAATCTCTCACTATCCCATCTTTCATTGTATGGCAAATCTCTTTCTCTCAGAAATACTTTTCTCATTGTAAATGTAACTATTTTATATGTAAGCTAAGGCTACTATTATGTTGAGTAGTTTAAATTTTTTTTATTTTTTTTTGAGATATTTTAACCGTTTTATCGCTTTGCGACTAGTCTGATTCTGTGCAGATCCTGGAATTAAAGCTCTAAATCTCTTTCAAAAAACGGTACTGGAGAGGATTAAATACATACTCTTACTCTCTGCTCAATTCTCCAACACCCAACCGAATTACCATAAATTAGTGTGAGTAGTTTAAATGACACTAGTTGCTGGCGAAAATTATACAAGCCAAAATTATATTAATAGAAACACCAGTGGCCAACATGTCTTTTCTGCGTAACTTTTTTAAGTCCAACTTTGAATATATTTATGAAAGTGAAAGGTTCAGAAAATGTTTGATATATGTGAGAATCAATTTTATTAAATTGAAGTTAAATTTAATATATTAGGATTGAATTATGGCTTTTTGACCTTTTTGATGCAAAATATAAGACAAATTACTAGTTTAACTCGTTTGGCAAATTATTTACCAATCTAATACGAGTAAAATGCACAAGGAGAGTGTATGTGTTTAAGTCAGGTATCATTCTCATGCGTTATTTGTACAAAAGTCAAAACACGTCTGTCAAATATCACGTTTTGCAAGATGCACATGACTTGCGTATGCCACTTGAACATGCACTATTGCCCTGATTTTTGCAAGTTGCACATGGAGGTGATGCAAAATGAAATGCACATACATCCTATGCATGTTGCACTTTCATTAAATTGGTAAATAATTTGACAAAATAGTTAAACCAGTCATATTTTACATTTTTGCATCACAAGGGTAAAAAATCCTCGAATTTCTGTATGAATAAACAAATACTCATGTTAGTAATACATTACTTTTTTATTTTTTTCTCTTTATTGGAGTTTAAAGTCGTGGTTACTTTATTTATTGGAGATTATTTGATTATTGGTCTGAATATTATCGGGTATTTAATTAATGACACAGGGACTGGTGAGAGTGACAAGGGAAAAGAAGGTTGAGGTGCTGGCAGATGAGGTTGAGGGCTTGAAATTCAAATTAACAGATGGTGTTGATGTAGCAGATGATGGTAATATATATTTCACAGACGCTTCATACAAATACAACGTAAAGGATTACGTCTTTGACATCTTAGAAGGCAAACCTCATGGTAGATTCATGAACTATAATCCAGCAACAAAGAACGTAACCTTGCTTGCCCGTAACCTCTACTTTGCCAATGGAGTTGCAGTCTCACCAGATCAAAATTTCGTGGTCTTCTGTGAAACTGTCCTGTGAGTAGTGCTAGCTTAAAGTATCCACTCTTACATAAATATACTATGAAAATCATTAATATAAGGTTCACCCAATTAATTAATTTGATAAATTGAATTAATTGTATTATATGGTATTACTATTCAAATTTCACCGTCCACATTCTCTAATAAAAAATTAAAAAATAAGTTTAAATCAGCACAAGAAAAATAAAAATAAAAATAAAAAATGAGTGTGTCAGTTTAAGCTTTTGGATTGATTTGGTTTTTTATACCATTGATTTTCTTTTTATACTAAAGCTTGTGCTTTATTTATAAAAAATCAGTTCAAGCCAAAATCTTAAGACGTTGGGTGAAGCTACATTAATGATTTTATATCTCTCTAACACACCCTCTCATGCAAGAGTTATTTGAGCTTGAAACGTAAATATTGCATAGGCCATTTTTTGGTCTACCTTGTGTGGTACAGGCCCATTTTTTATTTATCTTGTGCTTACTTAATTGCACCACAAAGTGAGAGCGATGAGGATCGAACTCGTGACCATTTGGTTCACTTCGGCTGTTATACCATGTAACTATTTCAACCCAAAACCTTAAGGCAATGGGTTAGGCTGCATTAATGATTTTTATATTTCTCTAACACACCACCTAATGTAAGAGCCATTTAGGCTTGAAGCGTGGATATTGCACATATCCTTTTTTTTTTCATCCATCTCCTTAAGATTTTTGATTAAAATAGTTTTTTTCATGGTATTAGAGCTAAAGTGACCAAGTGGTCACGAGTTTGATCCTTTGTGCCTTCCACTTTGTGATGGAATTAAGTAGCATAAGGTAAACCAAAAAATGGGTCTGTGCAATATTTATGCTTCAAGTCAAAAAGCACTTACACGAAAGGGTGTGATAGAGAGAGATAAAAATCATTAATGTAGTCTTACTCATCGCTTTAAGGTTTTGAGATGAAATAGTTCTTTACACCTTGTGCTGCACAGATTTATTTTTTTGTTTACCTTGTGCTACTTAATTCCACCACAAAGTGAGGGCCGGTGAGGATCGAACTCGTGACCACTAGGTCACTCCAGCTCTGATACCATGTAAAGAACTAATTCAACCCAAAAGTTTAAACTATTGGATAAGATTACATTAATAATTTTATATTTTTCTGACACGTCTCCTCATACAAGAGCTCATTGAGCTTGAAGTGTGGACAATACACCAGGCCCCTCCTATCTGTGCTAAGAAACTCCACAATATTTAATTATATTTTATTTTAAAATAGGAACAGTGAGGATCGAACTCATGATCACTTCGTCATGTCGATTCTGATACCATGTAAAGAATCACTTCAACCCAAAAATTTAAGATGTTGGGCGATACCATATTAATAATTTTATATCTCTCTAACAAAACTTGTATGTGATGAATTTTTCTATAGTTTTATATTATATCTCTATGATATTATTTGAATTTGATCTTAAGTCTAACGCCATGTATAATTCTGAAAGTTATTTGACTATACTTATTTCGGAACAGTAACCAAAATGCTACGTTTTGTCAAATTTTTTACCCAAATACCACGCGAACAGTATTTTTTACCAGACTGTCACGTGTCATAATTTGCTACCATTGGTAGCGAATTTCGTGGGCAATAATTTCGTGACACGTGGTTATATTGCAGACCAAATTCGCTACCAGTAGTAGCGAATTATGACACGTCAGCTTTTTCCTGCGAAAGTGTGCCACGTGTCAAAAAATCATTCGCGAACATAATTTGCTACACAGTGTAGCGAATTACGTCCTGCTTGACACGTGTTCTGACGTGACATAATTCGCTACACTGTGTAGCGAATTATTTGCAAGCATATTTCGCTATACAGTGTAGCGAATTATCTCACGTGGCATTCTGGAAAAATTTACTTTTGACATGGTAAGCTGATAATTTTTTTGACCACGCATGACAAAATGGTTATTGTTCCACTTATTTCCGAGTGTGCTGATTCTGCAGGAGGAGGTGCAGAAAGTTTTACATACAGGGTCCTAAAAAAGGATTGATAAGTGAATTTTGTCGTGACCTTCCTGGCATGCCGGATAATATTCATTATGTTGGGGGAGGGAAGTATTATATTGGCATGGCCACGGTAAAGTAGTCCTCAACTTCATTATTTATACTTTAGTATCATTAAGTAGTCTAATATTCAGTTTTGCATAAAGGAAAAAATAAATTTATGTGTTATGTTCAGGTGTACAACTAAGCACTGCATTACCACCATAACTTAACTAAATAAATAATCATGTCATTTGGTTTGTAGTTATGCAAAATGAAATCCATACTGAACCAAAATTAAGTGGAATATGGTTTAATGAATTGACCCTGGGGCGTTTGGTACGAGAGATATTTTTTTTATCGAGAAAAAAAAAGTTACCGAGAATATGGCATGATTTTTTTTATCTCAGGCAAGTTACAAATAGGTATTTGATAGGCTAAAATTTTTGCTGAAAATATTGAGTTATTTTTATAATGTCATGTTTGGTTGGTTGTGAAATATGTGAGAACGTGGAATAAAATTACAAAAATACCCATTGTGTTTGAATATTTGTTGCCCTCCTCATATCATGGAATACTTTCAAAGCCTCAATGCAATACCCATTCCGAACATAGCCAGCCATCATTGAGTAACAAGAAATGATGTCTCTCCCTGGCATTTCATCAAACAAACTCCTTGCAGCAACAACATCACCAGATTAGGCATAACCATCGATCATAGTTGCCCAACTGACCAAATTCCTTTCTGGCATTTCATCAAACAATGCTTGAGCATCCTCCATCCTCCCATGCTTTACACAACCATCAAACATTTTGCTCAAAGAAACCGAGTATCTCTCAGGCATCTTAAGAAACAAATTCCAAGCAAACTCAAGCCCATCTTCACATCTCAATACCCTCTAATCATTGAATTCCAAGAAATGAAATTCTTCTCCTCTGGTAGCATACCATCAAACAACTCACGTGCTCTTTCAACCACACACCACAATGGCTTTATACCACACTCAAACGCAGTGTTGTTTGCACACGCACTTCGCAGTAACTTGCACTTTGAGCTGCATACCAGGCAAAATAACGAAGACGGAGACGAAGGAGTAGATCTATTTGGATGACCATGAAGTGTTTTTGGCCACAAATTTTATAAACACACAAGGGCATTTCTGCCACAAATTTTATAAGCAAGATTCTCGGTTGATTGGATAAATTAAATACCAACCTTCAAATTGCATTTTTTTTAGCCAGTGTCTAGTTGAAAAAAAATTCCGTGGGAAACATTTTAGACCTGTATTTTTCAACTTATCTCGTACCAAACATGGTAAACATATTTTCTCCACCCCACTTTTTCAACGATTCTATCAAAATCTTCTTACCAAACACCCCTAGATCTCTCCAAAATTATAGTTTTGAGTAAAATTGAAAATCAACTAACTCACTTGACTTGAACCCAAACAGATATTTGTGTCTTGTTGACTGATTAATGTTTTTTGTTGTGTTAATGGCAGTCCTTAACTAGTGAATTGGATTTAGCACTTAGATACCCATTCATTCGGAAAGTTGCTGCAATGGTTGCAAAGTATATAGGAAGAGTACAAGTAGAGAAGAGTGGAGGAGTTCTAGTTGTGGATCTGGAAGGAAAACCAAAAGCACACTATTATGATCTCGAATTATCATTAATTGCAAGTGGGATCCCAATTGGAAATCATATATATTGTGGCTCCATTACGTATCCCTTTATAATACGTCTTGATGTGGATAAATATCCTGCCCTTCCCTCAAAATGAACAACAAAGAACATCTCTGCCAGACGAGATTGCTTAAAAAATGGGGCAACGCTGTGAATTTGAATGTGAAAACAACTTTACTTGTTAAGGGTGGCATGAATTTAATAAAGCCCACCACCCCAAAAACTCTGGACCAACTTGCATGTACTTGTCCATCGCTAGTTGAGTAGTTAGTTATTTAAATTTAATAGGAAATATATTGTCATGTGCAATGATTTTAGTGTAAAACAATTTGTTTACATTAATTATTAAAGTAGTTAAATATAGGCTTGGCAAATAGAAGCTAACCTATCGGGTTGGCTCGTGACCCGGCTAAAATGAGTCGGGTTGGATTAGGAAAAATGAGTTAGTAACTCGAGTCAGCCCGACTCGTTTCAGTTCGAAAAAAACCGAGCCAACTCAAGGGTCAAACGGGTTGGCTCGCGGGTTATGATTTTTTTAATATAAAAGTATAAAAATTAATGAAGGTAAGGTGAAAAGCTAAAAGCTAAAATCTCAATTCCAAAGACCCAAACGAAAATACCATACAGCTGCCAATAAGTCCAAAACTGTGCATTAAGGACCTTTTTTTATAGTATGTGTGACAGTGTAAATGCAGTGTCAACTGCCAATAAGTCCAGTTCAAATGTAAAAGAAATTTTCTATGGTTTACCTGTATAATGTTTTTGTATTGAATGAATTAATAATTTAGGGGGAAAATTTAGAAGTTATAACATCAATAGAATTTTATTTTATTTTTTATTTTTTCGAGTCAACCCGCGAGCCAACCCTAACCCGACTCGGGTCGGGTTGGGTTGAGTTTTCTGGTTCGTTTATTTTTCGAATCAACTCTAACCCGGCTCATTTTTTTCGGGTTGAACACGGGTTAGGTCGGATTGAATCAGATTGGCCCGTTTTTCTAACCCTAGTTAAATATAAGATGATGTAATTTTTTACATGATAAAAGTCAATTGAAATGGAATCGGCTCAAAATACCTTAAATAGAATCTCGCAAATTCTAACTCGGTGCATATTATTAAGATCTTCATATTTCTCCTTTATATTTCTCTCTCTTTTTACATTATCTCACTATCATGTAAAGTTTGTATTACAGATCCATTCTAAAAAAATGCAATGGTAGATTGGCAATCATTAGAGTCACTAACTGTTGTGGTCAGCGCAATTGGCTAGTCCCATGATCTAGGCCCAATATGATGAACTCATACTTGAGGCATACGGAGAACAATTTCCAAGGAGATAAGTAGTGTCTCCCCGGGGATATTTTCCTTGATTTTCCATGCACAAGCAGTTATTGTATGCTGACAATGGCTACAGTGCATCTTGCCCCAGCAAAACCAGGTCCAGGCTATGTTGGTACGGTTTGCCCCTTTCTTTCTTATTCTTTCTCCATGATGAGAAGGTCAAATCCCATTTATAAATACCGCTTTCCACTGAGAAGGAGGACTATTTTATTATTTCTATGAGCTGTTACTACGTCAAAGTGGAGAACTACAATAGCCACCCAACACCACCTCCCAGTGTCATACAACATCTGGGAAGCTCTGCAAGAGCTTTATATATACCATTGCTTCTAAGAGTATCCCTAAATAAATATTATATACCTTTCATGGGATACAAATACGGTTTTCTTAATCACTGAACAGTTCACTATCTATACTAAAATTGGGAATTCATCTGTTCTTTTTATATGGCAATTCTATCAAAGCTCCTCCTGCAATTTCAAGTAGTTGGTAGTCAACAAATGCATCTGTGCATGTAATTGATCTAGTGGCACCAAAAACTAGTTGCAATATGGTGAGAATTACGGTAACTTATTTTGACCTAATATATATGCCTAAAGTCTAACTTACTCTTTCAAAAATGTTAATTTAACAAAGTAAACTTTCAAAGCTCCCTCTTGCAATTTCAAGTCTGAATTTTATGCCTTTTAAAAAATTACTTATTTAAACTATCAAGTTAATTTATTTATCTATAGTTTGTATGATCAAAATAAAAAATTTACAGTACTTAAATATTTCATTAATTATATAAATATAATATTTATCTTTTACATAATATAATTATGTTATTTATGTTTTACATTGTTCATTGTACAAAATAAAGGCATTTTTACTGAGAGTTTTATAAGAGTTATGTTGTAGGAAAAATGATTGTGTTATGTTATAGAGATTCATTTTGCGTGCCATAATTTTTTTTTCTTCAAAACATGTGGGTCACACAAAATGTTGTGTGTAGAAAAAATTTTGTGGTCATATTAAATGATGAATGCAAACCCATGTAAGAAAAATCTATCTTCTTAAAAAGTGCCTTGGAATTAAAGAGATACTTTCTCGCTTTCACAACAAAATTGTATAACAAACGGATCTTAAATCTATTAAAATTAAAAAAAATTAAGCTTCGTATCAAAATATTTTTTAAGTTACAAATTATTATTTACTTTTTAAAAAAAATTATTTCAAGTTAAAAAAATGAGAAATTTTTTTGTCCTTTTAACAGTTATAATTATGTACTACGAGTAGTACATAGTTATAATATTAAAATTGTATTTTTTTTCCTCTCTCTCTCTTCAGAAGTTATCTGCTGACGTGAAAAATGAAAAAAGTACAACCTTAATATTATAACTATGGACTACCTATAGTACATAATTATAACTGCTAAAGGACAAAACCTCGTGCCCTTTAAAAGAACACACATTAAACCCTAAAAAATATAATAAATAATAAGTAAAAGCTGTCATTTTACAAAATAAGGGTTAATTGTGTTGGTCTCATATGAAGTTAAGAGGGAAGTGAATTGAGTTGTATAATTTTATATAATTAAACCAATGCAAATTTAAAGATAATAATCATAAGCAATTAAGAGTAATTCGAATAGATAACACAAGTGTTTACCAGTTAAAGCCCCCTAAGGGAGGAAATAAAACTCACGACCCTAATTTGGATACTTCTATCCATTTGGAAGGCAAATCCAATAATATGATCCAAGCTCAACTCAAAGTACAAGAATGAAACTTATTCTACCCTTGTTCGTATTCAGCCCCAAACAGAGTTGATGATTCTGTCACTACAAAAAAACATACATTTTGCGGCGGTTCATTTTGGTATACGCGACGGTTACAACTGTCGCTAAATTCATTTTTGCAATTAGGGGCGATTGTAACCGTCGCGTATACCAAAAATGAACCGCCGCTAAATGCCTGTTTTTTTGTAGTGTGTAATGGTCATGTACTGGATTTATCACTGAGACTTAATGAGTGTAGCGCTTGTATAAGATGCAAGAAATAAATAAATGAGGAGCAGTTTTTGGAAATCAAAAACTAAAAATAGAACAATGAATAAAGAACAAAAAGAATTAATGTCTTTGAGGAAATAAGAGCAATTGCAATAGAGAGTAGAATAAAAGTGAAAAGAGTATGAAGAACACAATAGTCAAAGTGTAGACTTGAGATAGTATTTTCGCCTCACTAGATTGCTCTCAAGACTCAACAATGCTCCCACAATGGGTTTAGCTTAAGGTGCCTTTCATTGTCTTGAATACAGATCCCTCTATCATTCAAGTTTTTACTGCCTAAGATGGTCTACGCATATCCCTATGCCCCAAACAACCTTAGGACTTAGGAGTCCTATTATGTTAAGATCCAAGGAAGATTGTGCTTGCCTCTTATCCCTAAGGTGACATGCAGAAGTTTCTATAAAGAAACTCTACACACAACAAATATTTCTAGGTTCGGGAATCCTTCTCGCCAGAGAGCTAATCCCCCGATATTTTCCCTTAACGCCAGTTAATCAGAACAGTAAAATTGAAACATCACAAAATCTTTTAATGGCAACAAGCTTACATTAAAAGTTCAACCTAGAAGGATTCCTTTACTTCTCCCTTGCCTACTAAAAGAAATCAGCTTATATTGAAGAGCATATTACATAAATCAGAAGAGTAGGACGTGAGGTCCTCTCCTTTATGCCACCAAAAGTCTTTTATCATCATGTTCCCTTCTGCATTAAAAGTGTCCTTCCTCTTCTCTGATTGGAGGAGATCGAATGTGGAGGTGTTGAGAATTGCAATTCATTTTCTCTCCACTAATTTCCTGCAACATAAGGCACTGCTACAATTTTCCCAAACAAGGGGGAGCGCATTAATAGCATGGAAAGAAAGATACTAAGCCAGAAAATCAACATAAATTATCCCAATAAACAAACTACCAAGTTTAAGAAAACAAAAAAGTAAAAAGATATCCTTAAACAAATAAATCTCAAGAATTTTTTTTGAAAGAAATGGAAGAGGTGTTAGAATAATATAGGAGATGTCTGACCCAAGAAAAGATATATCGTCTTTTATTTTAGTGAAAATTATGCTTGAACACCTACAAAGCCAACAAACTTATCAACATTAATGCTAAAACTAAGCAAATGCACACTCTTCTCTCACAAAACATTCTTAATTTCTTGGGGGAATTATAAATTATGATGTAGAATTTAGTTAGGTTAGTAATAACCTAAAAGTTTTGAAGTTAATGTATAACTCAGAAAGAAAAAAGATAACGAGGATATATAAGTAAATACAATAAAGTGAGTGGATATTCTCTTGTCAAAATTTAAATGTGACTAAAGAAAAGAAGAAAAAGAAAGCTTTTCGTTGCTCTTTCTCTCAGCTATTCGTTGTTGCTCATTTGGGAGAAAGACACACCTCTCAAACAAAAGCCCTCATTGTTTTCAAGTTGGTTTCTCACTAGGTTTCCCCATTGCTCATTGGTTTTCTTATTGCTTCATTGTGCAGGGTTTTGCCTGTTAAGCAATGTCTACATTTGGGGTTGCCGCTCAACATTCATTCTACAGTCCTATATCTATTCCTAGAAACCACAATCAGGTTTGGTTTATTGGTTTCAAAAATGGTTTATCTTATTCTTTAGTTGGTGCATTGCACTTTCCGGTTTTGTAATAAGTAAAAAAATTAAAAGTCTAAAAATGAAAGACCATATTACTATGATGAATTTCGGAAACATG